TTTGGCGGTCTTGAAGCGATCCTGGGCTTCTCTCGGCGCTCTTGGAGCCTTCTTTGGCGGACTGGGAGGCCCGGGGGCCGCCCGAGGAGCGTCCCGGGAAGCCTTCCTGTGCTGTCTTCGGGCTATCCTTGGGCGCCTCGTGGGGCTTTCGGACCGCTCCGACAGCCAAGGGAGCTGATATCCTAAAAATGTACGTTTTACGATCGGAATGGGGCCATTTTGGTCTCCCGGGGCGCTCTTGGGGGGCCTCTTGGAGGCCTCTTGGGGCGGTTTGATGGCCTCTTGGCCCTTCTGGAAGCGATCTTTTGCGGTCTTGAAGCGATCCTGGGCTTCTCTCGGCGCTCTTGGAGCCTTCTTGGGCGGACTGGGCAGCCCGGGGGCCGCCGGAGGAGCGTCCCGGGAGGCCCTCCTGGGCCGTCTTGGGGCTGTCCTCAGTCGTCCTGGAGCGTCCTTGGGCGCCTCGTGGGGCTTTCTGGCCGCTCCGACAGCTAAGGGAGCTGATATCGTAAAAATGTACGTTTTACGAAGGGAATGGGGCTATTTTGGTCTCCCGGGGCGCTCGTGGGGGGCCTCTTGAAGGCCTCTTGGGGCGGTTTGAGCGCCTCTTGACCCTTCTGGAAGCGATCTCTGGCGGTCTTGAAGCGATCCTGGGGTTCTCTCGGCGCTCCTGGAGCTCTCTTGGGCGGGCTGGAACGCGCGGGGGCCGCTGGAAGGGCGCCCCGGGAGAGGGCCGCACCCTATATACAAGGAAGGTTCCGGCCCGGGGCCCGGGGCTCGGGATCTCCCATATGTATATATATATATATATATATATATATATATATATATATATATACGCATGTACTAATAGTTCACGCGCCAAGGCTGGTCGCCGCGGCCCCGCGACTCATACTTCACGCGTCAAGGCCGGCCGCCGCGGCCCCGCGCCTGGGCGCCGCTCGAAACATTGCCACCGCCCACGAGCTTCCGTTGATAACACTGGTCGCATCCAATTGTTGCGCGGGGCACGCAGGGGCCCCGGGGCCCCAGGTGCGATTTTGATGGTCCCAGAGGGGGGGGGGGGGGGGGGGGGCTCATTTAGGACCCCCGCCCCCCTCCCCCCTCGTTGATCGATGAAATCCAAGATGGCCCCAAGAGAGCCTCCCAGGCCCTCGAGATCGCCCCGCGACTGCCTCGCTCCTCCTACCTGTCGAGCCTCCCTCGTGCATCCTCATCCTCCGCCTCCCCCCCCCCCGTCCTCATCCGTTTCCTCGCCACCATTGGCATCCCGATTATCCATCCTCCCCCTCACCCTCAGCATCCCCATCCGCATCATCATCCTCATCCTCATCATCATCACCACCATCACCTTACCATCATCATCAGTGTCCTCATCACCATCCGCATCATCATCATCCGTCCATGCCACATTCTTTCCCCCTCCTCCATCGCATATCCTTCTCCTCCCCCCCTCCTCCTCCTCCTCCTCCTCCTCCTCCTCCTCCTCCTTTCACTCCTCCTCTCATTTCTCCTCCTCCCTCGCGCGGCCGCGGCTGCCCCCTCTTTGCTCATTGTTTCTGTGCTACCCTAGCTGTCAAGCCTCAACTCGGCTGGGCGTCGTCTCTGGATGGGCTCGCGGGGAGACGCCAAGCGTCAACGCGGTCGAGACACTATGTCAACCAAGCCGGTACTGCTCGAGATCGCCTCCGCCCTCGTCGTCGCATTCACTGCTCGAGCGCGTCGCATGCCGTTCTCCAGCGAGTGCCCGTCGGAGCTTCCTGACCTCGCGGGCCGCGTACTTCTGCTCGGCCTTCTGGCGTTGCCAGCGCGCCCTCAGCCCTGTGGCGCCTCGCGTCGGCGGTGCAACCTGCGTCCGCGGTCTGATCTCGAAGCCGTCGATGATCGCCGCAGGCGCGTCCACCTGCTGAACTGCTTGAGCCGTCCCCCGACGGCGCTCGCGGCGCAACCTCTCCTTGCGCCATCCTCGGCGCCGCTGCGGGTTTGGGCCTCGATCGCCTGGATCTATATGGCCCGGGCTTCTACCGCCGCCGCCTGGACCTCGATTGCCGCCGCCTGGGCCACGATCGCCGGGGCCTTCGTCGCCGCCGCCGCCTGGACCTCGATCGCCTGGACCTCTATCGCCGCCGCCGCCTGGAACTCGATCGCCTCGACCACTCAAGGCGCGCCGCCTGGGCCTCGATCGCTGTAGCGGGGCGCGGCTGCTGCGACGGCGCCGCCTGGACCTCGATCGCCGCGGCGGGGCGCGGCTGCTGCGACGGCGCCGCCTGGGCCTCGATCGCCGCAGCGGGGAGCGACTGCTGCGGCTGCGCTCTGGGCCGCGGCTCCGCCACTGCGTTCCGGCCAGCCTGCCCATCGACTTCCCAGGGTTGGATGGGCCAAGCAGGCAGTGGGCGCCCAGGGGGGCTCCATTCGCACCTACCTGCACGGACCTCGAGCGCCGTGACCTCGATCGCCGCCGCCTAGGCGTCGATTCGATTTCCTTGACCCCGTCGAGGCGCGCCGCCTGGACCTCGACCGCCGCGTCGGGGCGCGGCTGCTGCTTCGTCGCCGCCTGGACCTCGATCGCCGCGGCGCCGCGCTGCTGCCGCGGCGGGGGCAAGGGCGGCGTCGCGGGATCCCTATTCGAACCCATGTGCGGCGTCAAGGGCGGCGACGCGGGCGCCAGGGCGTCCGCGCAGCGCTTCTAGGCGTCGACGGTGTCACGGCAATAGCAGCCACTGGTCTCCGGGCATCTCAGAAAAGCGAAAAGTTGTCCCGCGCATGTGATGCCTGAACAAATGTATGTCAGGAGCTCCGAGGAGGTCGCGTGCAGCATCTTGCAGGCGCGCCTGAGAAATTGCGTCGCAGGCATTCTTGGCACGACGCATCCTCTTCGCACGGCGCTTTCTGGCCTCGTGCAGGAGCCCCGGGGTGAGGCGCTGTTGTGCAACAGTGGCCGCTTCGCGCCGTCTTCCAGGGGGGCCCACCGCACGCGCGTGAAGGTGCAAGGACATATGCACGCGCGAAGCGCTTGGAAGAACAGCTCAACGACCGCGCGCACTAAGACCAATGTGCGCTTTGCATCCACTCCCAGCTTCCCGCTGGCTATGGCAATTCGCGCCGCCTCGCTCACCGCCCACTGCGTCGGTGAAGCTCGTGCCCGTCGGCTCAAGAGAGCGCGGGGCGCGCGCTGGAAACTCGGGGTGATCAGCTTTGGTTTAGCCGTCTTAGCATAGACGCCCATCACAAGCGCGGGCAACCACTTGTTGATCCAGTTCGGCGCCGTGGCAACCCGAGGCAGCTTCCGCGCCCCGATCGATTTAATCAATCATAGCACTGTCCAAGGCAAGCTCACCTTGCTCAGCCTCGGTCAGGTCGTCGAGGTCGGTATTGGTGATGAGTTCGCTACTGGCACCACGCACTTCACCTGTCCTGCATTTTTGATCATGCGTTCGTGGGATGTATACATCAATAATTACGTTTACTCGTTTCCCGTCCACTACTTGCCTGCATTCTTGCGATTCTATGAACTGCATGTTCGTCGTATCGTTTGGCGGCCCGGTGGAAGGCATCACCTCGCCCGGATTGGACACGGTCCCAATACCTTCCCTTTTTTTATTGCGTAACCATCTGATATTGGCCTTGACATGCTGGCTGGCGGTGGCGAGCTGCCACTGCATTTCTTCGTTGTCCTGAGCGTGACACATTATATCCCTGAGGTCCCGCCATTCACACAATAGCCTGGGTACCTCTTTGGGTTGCCTCTGGTGATCTTCTGAATGCCACTGGTTGCTGGTACACGTGTTCTGCCGCATATCGTAATACATTCACAAGTATATCATCCGCCGCCCCCGCACGTTTACGTCCGTCAGGTCGTTGTTCACGGAGCTGCTGCGCATCCACCTGCGCCATATCTTTCAATAGCTGGATAGGCTGCGTACGTCGCACCCATCTTTGCAGTAACGAATTCATGGCCACCACGCCGGTTGTTGTCCTATCTGTTGGGGTCGACTGTCTTGGCCCCATCGTGCAAGCACCCAAACCCGTTCTCAGCGGTACATGATACCACAATTAGCATGCACTCTGTACTTGCAACCGCCTCATAGATTTGTCCAGCGTGGTGCAGAATTCTACTCCCTGGTGCAAGCCAATCGGTAAACATGTGTAGTCCAGTGTCTTACCCTCCTGAACCGCATTGTAATACGTGCGTCCATCCTTGGCATGGCGTTGGCCATCGTCAGCTCATTCGCCTCAAGATTGGAAGTATGGAATTGGCCACACACCTGCAGCGCCATGAAGGCCGAACTCACCCATAGCCTCACTCGATTCCAAACCTGCATCCAAGTCCGTACAAACAGTCGGTGTCCATCTCGCGCCAACATTCTCATTGTGCCGCCATCACACCACACCAAGGCAACCAAACCGCAACCCAAAGGGCTGCGTGGCAAACTCATCGTTGGCCAGCCGGAAGAATGGCGCGAGATAAAATGGAGTGGCGGTGCGCGGATGGCGTGCTTCTGGCATCACCCCGATGCTTTGTGCCAAGTTTTGCCGGCCGGTCACAAAGGGCATGCAATGCATAGTGTGCGGCGGCTGCGCAGCGCAACTCGTCAGTATATTCCCCAACAGGGGTTGGCGCACGAGGGATTATCTCTTTGTCACCGACCTGGCAAATCTGATGGTTCATGCAGATGTCATCTGCATTGCCAGGAGAAATGCAGCCCATACGGCAAATCAGAATCGAACTAAACTGAACTCCTCCTCCCCTTCCTGCTGCTGCTGCTGATCCTCCCCCTCCTCCTCTTCCTCCTCCTCCTCCTCCTCCTTGAGCGCGCACCCTCCCGAATCTCACTCCCGACTATCGCCCGCCGCCCCGCGCGCCCGCTTGGGCCGCCCCGCGCTTCCGCGCGGCGCCGCCACCCGCCGCCCCCGTCCGCCGCAGCTGATACTCCCCCTCCTTCTCCGCTTTCTCTGCCTCCCGTGCCCTGACACGAGCCAGGACCCAGGAGCTGCGCGCTGGCCTGGAATAGCCCTTCATGGCCGCCAGCACGGGGGAGTTGGACCAGTAGCCGAGGCGGAAGCCTGGGGCACGGAGATCGGCCGCTCCAGTCGTGAGGAGGAGAAAGAGAGGGAGAAGGGGATCGAGGGGAGAGATGAGGAGTGGGGGCTGGGCGATGGAGAGAGGGAGCGGTAGGGTTTGGAATGAGAGAAAGAGAGAGGGAAGGAGGAAACGCGATATACATATAGGTATATGTGTGTACTAGAACCATCGCGCGCGTTTCGCGCAGCGCGCTCAAGTTCTAGCTAGGGTCATGATCATCGTCATCATTGTCAGACTCATCCCCGTCATCTTCATCGCCATCGTCATGGCCATGCTCACCTTCACCATCACCATCACAACAATCATCACTATCACCGTTATCATCAACATTGTGATCACCATCGCCATCACCGTCATCGTACTTTTCAACATCATCATCCGCATTCGCGGTCATCATCCCCGGCCCACTGCAGTCCCCTTACCCTTCTCCTCTTCCCGTTCTCCCTCTACCCATCATCTTGTACTCATCCTTTTCCTCAACGGTGTCTCCCTGAAATGGATCCCTCTTCCTTCACCTCCTTCTCCTCCTCCTCTTCCTCCTCCTTCTCCTCCTCCCTGTCTTCCTCGCTCTTCGGTGTGCCCTCTTCATCCTGCGCTCCCCTGCCCTCGTCCTCAGCATCCCTCCCCGAGCCAGAGAATCAGATAACAAGATAATCCTACAAGAACAGTGTCCCTCCTCCTCTTCCCCCTCCTCTTCCCCCTCTTCGTCCTCCTGATCTTCCTGCTCCTCCTCCTCCTCCTCCTGCTCCTCCTCCTCCTCCTCCTGCTCCTCCTCCTCCTCCTCCTGCTGCTCCTCCTCCTCCTCCTCCTTGTCCTCTTCCTCCTCCTCTCTTCTCTCAACGCACCCGATACACGGGTGCCTACTGGAACGCGTGCCGGGAGCCTTTTTGGAAGCATTGTGGCAGTCTCTGGAGCCTCTTCGGGCCTTCCTTTGGCATCATCAGGGGCCTTCGCTGGCCCGTGTGAGGGCCCCTTTCGGCCGTTCCGGGTCCCGCTTAGCTCGTCGTGGGGAGCTCAGCCCGTCTTGGGGCCCTCCTGGGGCCCTCTCCGACCATGTAGGAATCCTCTGGCGGCCCCCTCGGGCTTCCTGGCGGCTCTCTTGGGCCGTCTTGTAGCTCTTCTGTGCCGCTTGAAGCTCTCTTCAGCCCGTCTTGGAACCCTCTGTGGGGTCTCTGGGGCCGTCTGGGGCCCATTTTGGTAGCCTCTTGGGCCGTCGCGACCGCTGGTAGAACTGAAAAGCGAAACTCCCAGAAATATATGTTTTGTCCAACGGAAATGCTTGATGTTTGCCTTTGGAGTGCCTTCTCAGCGGCCTCTTGGACAGTCGTGGGGGGGCCTTTTTGGGCCTTGTGTGGCCCGTCTGGGAGCCCATCTCGGCTGTCCCAAGCCCCTCTTGGCATGTCATGGGTAGCTGAGCCGTCTTGGGGCCTAATGGAGCCCTCTCCGACCATGTAGGGATCCTCCGGGGGCTCCCTCGGGCGCCCTGGGGACTCTCTCGGGCTGTTTTGGAGCTCTCTTGTGCTGCTCGACGCCCTCTTGAAGCTGTATTGGAGCCCTCTTGGGGGCCTCATGGACCGTGTGGCGCCGATTTGGGGAGCCTTTGGGGCCGACGTGGCCGCCGATGGAACATAAGAAGCGAGTATCATAGAAATGTACGTTTTTCCATTGGGAATGCTAGTTTTTTGCACCTGGGAGCCTTCTCAGCGGCCTCCTGGACCGTCTTTAGGGAGTCCTGGTAGGCCTTTTTTGGACCCTCTGGGAGCTCAATTCGGCCATTCCGGGTCCTCTTCGCCCGTCATGGGGACATGAGCCCGTCTTGGGGCCCCCCTCTCCATACATGTAGGGATCCTCCGGTGGTGGCCTGCTTCGGGGCGGGCCTGGGCCGCCTCGGGATCCCTCTGGGCCTTCTCTGGGCGCGCTCTTGGGGCACGCTTGGGTTGTCTGGAGAGCATCCTGGGCCGTCTTGGGGCCCTCGTCGTGGCCTCGTGGGCCTTCTTGGAGCGATCTGAAGAGCCTCCGAGGCCGTGAGGGAGCGCTGGAAAGCGGGAAAAGCGAGAACGCCAAATTCCAAAACACTTGGAAAACGAGTGAATCTTGCCTTCCAGGGCCCTCTTGGGGAGCCTCTTGAGTCCGTCTTGGAGCGTGTTGGAGTCCTCGTCGGCTGTCTTGAGGGCATCTTGGGCGTCTTCGGGACCTCGTGGGACCGTCTTGGGCCCTCTCGGGACCCCCTTAGCCTGTCGTGGCCTGCTTCGGGGCGGGCTCGAGCCGCCTCGGGAGTTCTGGATCCCCCCCCGCAACCCCCGGTGGGCACCGATGGGGGGAACAGGCAGCGGCCCGCCCCCCCCCCCCGGGCCTACTCAGAGATAGAGAATCATGTTCCCGGGAAGCTTTCCCGGCGCATGATTTGTTCGGCTCTCTGAGAGGGGGGGCTCTGGGGGCTTACCGAGGGGCGCCTTTTGGCCTTGTCGGCAAGCCTGTTGGAAACATGGTTGGGGCGGTGGGCGGAAGCCGAAGGAATCATGTTCCCGGAAAGCTATCTGGGAAATACGCTTTACATAAGTGTCTTGGGGGCCCGCAGGGGGCTTCCCTGGGGGCCACTTGGGGGCCTATAGGGGCTTCCGGGGGGCCTCTTGGGAGCCTCACGGGGCTTCTTGGGAGCCTCTTGATGGCCTCCGGGGGCGTCCTAGGAGCCTCACAGGCCAGAGACCTTGAAATGTCGAGCTCTTCGGGCGCTCTTGGGTCGCTTTTGGGGCTCTCTTGGGGCGCTCTCGAGGCCCTCTTGGCTTATCTGGGGGGCCTCCTGGGCCGTCTCTGGGCTTTCTTGGGAGCCTCTTCGGCCGCCTTGGAGCGATCTAAAGGGCCTCTGATGCGGTCCGGAACCGTGGGGAGGCGGAACATCGGAGAGCGCAAGAATGCTTCAAACACCATTGGAGAATTGATGATTTTCGGCTTCTGGGGCCCTTTGGAGGGGCCTCTGGAGGCGCTCTTGGGGCGTTTTGGCGGCGTCGTCGGCCGTCCTGAGGCCATCTTCGGCGTGTCCGGGGCCTCTGGGAACTGTCTTTGGGCGTCCTCGGAAGCCGGAAATCATGTTCCCGGAGAGGCTTCCGGGAGCATGATTTCAAACGAGGCTCTCTTGGGCCTCCTGGAGGCCGTCTTGGGGGCCTCCTGGGCCAGCTTTGCGGCCTCTTGGGCCGTCTTGGGAGGTTCTGTCAGTCCCAAGGGACGATCCTTTTGGGCCGTCTTGGGCCCTCCGGGGTCTCTCTTGGGCTGTCTTGGAGGTCCTCGGGGGCGTCTGGGGCACTGCGAAGACGAAGCAAGAGAGTATGCTGAAAACGTACGTTTTACGATGGGAATGGGCCGATGGTTGCCTCTTGAAGGCCCTCTTGGGGCCCTCTTCGGCCATCTTCAAGCCATCTCGGGCCCTCTTGGGCCGCGCTGAGGCTGTCTTGTGGGCCTCTCGGGCGTCCTGGGAACCCGGAAATCATGTTCCCGGAGAGGCTTCCGGGAACATGACTTCGAAGCTCTCTTGGGCCTCCCTGAGGCCGTCTTGGGGGCCTCCTGGGCCGGCTTCGGGGCTTCTTGGGCCGTCTTGGGGGGTTCCTTGAGCTCCAGGGGACGATCTTTTTGGGCCGTCTTGGGCCCTCGAGGGTCTCTCTTGGGCCGTCTTGGGGCTCCTCGGGGGCGTCTGGGGCACTATGAAGACGAAGCAAGGGAGTATGCTGAAAACGTACGTTTTACAATGGGAATGGGCCGATGGTTGCCTCTTGAAGGCCCTCTTGGGGCCCTCTTCGGCCATCTTCAAGCCGTCTCGGGCCCTCTGGGGCCTCGCTGAGGCTGTCTTGTGGGCCTCTCGGGCGTCCTGGGAACCTGGAAATCATGTTCCCGGAGAGGCTTCCGGGAACATGATTTCGAAGCTCTCTTGGGCCTCCCTGAGGCCGTCTTGGTGGCCTCCTGGGCCGGCTTCGGGGCCCCAGCGAAGGGGGAGTGGAAGGCGGGAGGGCGAGGATGCACCTGCGCGAACAAAGGTGCGCGGTCAGATCGCTCAAGCCCGAAAGCGGGCCAGCCCGATGCTCCCAGAACGCGTCTTCTGGTCAAGGATTTCCGCCGTAGACGCGATCCAGTCTGCAAGCGCCGAGCGCGACGTCGCCAATCGTCGCGCGAAGTCGGCCTGAGGGGCCTCGACGAAACCCCCGTATAGGTCCACGGACTTCCCTGGCAAGATGACGCCTCCACGCGGAAAACCCCAGTCGCCAGCGAGACAAATAAGGCCGGCAGCCACTGCAGGAACAGCGCCTCAGACGAATAAGGGCTCCGTGGACAGCGCGGAAAATGACGCAAGGGCGCATGAGAACATTGGCCGAACAGAAACGCCCAGATTCACCGGATAGCTTGACAATCAGACCCCGAGCCATCTCCAGAATCCGCGCTGCCCGAAAGTGCTTCATCAAGGCTTTCGAGAAAAAGTCGATCACGCAGCCAGCGGCGCGGGGGGGCAGAAGACGCCGAAATGGGCGCGAGAGACGAAGTCGCGACGAAACGCATTTAAGTCCTCAAGGGCCCCATGAGCCTCCTGCATGTCTATGATATGATAACGCCCGACTGCAGGCCGAAGCTTGTTACGCGTTGGACTCTGACGCCTACGATTCGCAAGAATACTGCCCAACAGCGCTCGCGCTCCACGAGGCCGCGGCGAACGAATTCAGGACTTTGAAAAGAAAGCAACAAGCACTGTGAGTTGGAGAATCACAAATGGGCTACACAGCCGAGAAGCGGGGGGAGAAGGAGGACGAGGGGGGGAAGAAGGGAGATGCTGCAGCAAGCGCCTAGCCTTCACTGGACGAGCCCCTCCAGCGGCGCCCCGCGTTGGACGGACATCGTAAACCAAACCCGACGTGGCAGATCCATCTGATGCCGACTCCTGCGCGGCGGTTTCCTAGCGCCGCTTGGTCACCAGCGAAGTCACGCGCCCGCTGATGAGATCGATGAACGGTTCCTCGGTGAACGGTTTCTCGAGGCCGGCTGCCTCCATGTAGGGAAGAAGGGTGATAACGAAGGCGCTCTCGAGCTCGGTGATTTTGACCCGGGCAGAGTTGGGCAGGTGGAGGTCGCCAGAGAATGGGTTGGATCCGAGCTTCATCGAGTGAACGGGGATCTTCGTAGTCTTCAGCTCGTCCACCACAACCTGCAAACACCGCTGCAGAGCAAAGGCACGGCGACGAAAAGCTGAGGCTGGCCCCAACCACCGCGCCGAGAGATAACCTCAATCAACATCGGGCCGGTCCATGTGAGAAGCTTCGGGCCGGCACGAGTGGCAGCGTGGAACAACTGCGCGTCCTCCTCGGCGTCGGACTGAATGTTGAAGCTGTACTTGTAGTTCTGGGCCTGCACACGACATTTGGACGCACATTCGGGAGCAATTGCCTGCCGTCTTGATTTCCGAGATCGAAGATTGGAACGTGGACCTCATCAACTCTTGGGTTCTCCGGGAAGCCGCAAATCCGAGTGTTTTTTGCTGCAGCGATTGTCCTCATCAGCAGGGGGCGGGCGCGAACCAGCACGAGGGGACTGCGCGCGCGCGGGATCCCCAGGATGACCACGGATCGCTGCGGGACGAACCAGTACTGGAGGCCGCCGTGGGCTCCATCCTCGCCTCGAGCAGGGCCACACGGGCCGCGAGAGCAGCGTTGACACCAGGAACAAGTAGAGGATGAGGACATCTAATTTCTTCAGTTTTCCAGATCTGGCATCAACGCTCATGCCGCAACCGTCGCCATCCAGCCACCAGCTGGGCAGCCTGTCGGTCCACGACAGCACGAAGATCATGCATCAGCTGCGACTGCTCCTCTGTGCGGCTCGTCATGGTCGTGTCTAGACGCTTGACCGCGATAGTGTTGTCCAAGAGCATGTTGCCGAGCTCATTCATGCGAAGCTGAAGAGGCTGGAACTGATCGGCGAGGAAGAATCGCATCAACTTTTAAGGAGAAGGTAGGGAAGGAGTGGCGTAAGGAGTGGCCGCAAGGAACACGATGCGGTGCAGAACGTATGTTGCTGCCCCGCGAGGGCTCACAGCAAGGATCGTGTCTGAAGGTCGCTGTTGGCCAGGGGCCCTAAGCCAGACCTCGCGGCTGCGACTCAGCTCTGGCTGCCGAGGTCCAGCGTTTAGAACTTGAGCCAAGGTGGCCACGGACGAGGGAGAACTGAAGGAGGAGACTAGTGGAAACCCAAGACTGAACAACGCCGCTAGATTAAAACATTCCTCCAAGGTCCGTCTTCATAGGACCCCACAAGGGTTAATTTCCACCGAGAGAAATGCCACGTTGGGTGACAAACCGTTTCCAAATCCTGAAGCTTGCTGGAGCACCTTTCTCGGAGCTTCAACGTCACGCATGAATATGACTGTTGTGCCTTGACGACCCTGAATCATGACAGAACACGATTCCTGGAACTTCAACACCACGAATCAACGTAATCGTTGCACCCAGACTACCCTGAACCATTCCAAAACACTATCTCCGTAACGCTAGCCATGGTAAGCACTGAAGATCCTGCAAAATTTTAGCACGAGTGCGAGCGGCGCTAATAAGGGACCACATGTGAACCCTACCCCTACCCCCCACGACTTCTGAGGGGGAGGGTGGGGTTCATATCGCTTGGGAGCTCCCGAACGAAGTGAACCCCACCCTTTCCCTCAGAAATCGTGGGGGGTATGGGGTAGGGTTCGCATGTGGCCCAGCAGCTAAGGCGAGAACCACATTTTGAAGAGGAGCCAGCCTCCATCCGTGCAGCTCTCGCCATGTCGAAAACGAATGTGCGCGGCGCTAGAGCGAGACACACAGTTTGAAAACGGCCCGCCCTCAACTGAGTGAAGCTCTTGCAGTCATTGTAAAAAGAACGCGCGCGGCGCTGAAGCGAGAGCCACCTTTGGAAGCGGCCCCTGCCCTCCATCTATGAAACGGCCACATGTTAAGCTTTCTTTCTTTCGGACTGCCGCTGGCCCTACCGGGCGCGTGAAAGGAAAATCTGCGTGGTTCCTGCCATGACACTGCGTCGAGCTCATAGCGACCCCGGGGGCCTGTGCCTGGGTCGAGGGACGTTTCTGCGATTACAGACGCACAAGAATACTGAATCAACCAGCTGGCAAAGAGGAGGAAGAGAAAGAGGGACAGGCAATCAACATGGACAAAAAAAATGCTACAAACAATCACACATCTTTGGCGAGGTACTTGCAAAATGCACATAATGCTGCGTCTACAGCTAACGTCTCCGCTTCGAACGCAGACCGAATGTTCGTCACCACCTCCCCCTTCAGCGCTAGCTCCTCGTAGTGGACTTCGTGTCCGTCAACGCCCTGAGCCCCATAGATTGCATAGCCGATCCCCGCCAACCGGTGACTATCATAATGCAGACCGCGAAGGCCTCCATCCACGCATATTTTCATAGCCCCACTGGAAACGTATGTGTGCAGTGCCTCCGGGCTCTCCCAGTGGAGATGTTGACGCGTGTCCATCGCTGCGTTCACGAGGTAGTCGGGCACTGTGTTCATGTCCCTGGGGGCCCAATTGACGTAGGAATCGATATCCCGTCTTGGATTCCACCCAGCCCGTTCCAACGCGAACAACTTGGCGCAGATCCTCCTGAACGCCAACTCCAGTTCTGGAGCTCGTAATACCGAGTGCCCGTTGACGACGTCAGCTACCCCCAAGCCGTCGACCTGGATCCAGAGGCGCTTGCTCCACGAATCCCATTTGAGGTCCATAGGGTGGGGAGGCAATGTAGGTGTAACTCGAGGGCGAAGTCCGGCAGGAGCGCGAGGTAGCCAAGTAGACCTGGGCCCTGGATTCTCAACAGGAGGGGCAATTGCATAATGAGAACAAGCCCGTCGGATGAAGTCTGGCGCCCGTTGAAGCCATGATGCCCGAGTCCGGCATTCGTCTCTCTGTCTACGCCAATCGACGCCCAAGATTTCGCACAATGGATCTTCCCATGCGGTTCGATGGCCGCTGTGCGCATGAAGGAGCCCTTCGGCCTTGCGCTTCTGGTAAGAACAAAACGATCGAAGCGTCTCCCACCAAATCTGGCTACGATACTCCCGGGTCGCTCTGAGAGGGTTCATTTCGAAGTCGAGGCCCGTGAGCTTCTCGTCCCACGCGGATGCGTAAATGGAGCGCAAGACCCGGTGAGTTGCACACTGCTCGCCTGCGTGTGACATCCATTCTCGTATCATCCTCGCCGAACGTTGGTTGTAGGCGCAGGCGCCCTCCCCAGGGCGGCGGCGAATAGGGAGCAACTGTCGTAACCGATTGTTCTCCCAACGCTGCAAGCCGATGAGAATTTCTGAAGAAATATGCCACGATCCCGATCCAAGTAAAGCGGACGTCGCTCCAGAAACTGCCCAGGCGCGTAGTTTCGGAAGAACTGGACCTGGAATGCGGAGGACAGGTTTGTGTTTGTAGAAAATCTTATCGGCCATTGTTTGCCGATGCTGTACGCTGCCCTGTGTGCTCCCCACTCTGTCGAAGAACTCGCCCAAAAGAACTGTATTCGACACGATGTCGTAACGCATGTCCTCGCCGCGTTGCTCCACGGAGAACTCATAATGAAAATCATCTGCGAAAGGCCCACCAGGAAGAATTTCCAAGGACGACGGTTTCCAGAACAAGTCATGTTGCTTGAATCGATCTGACATTTCCTGGATCATCGTGTTCATCGTTACTTGATCGGTAGCAAATATAATGATGTTGTCGCACCATACAGCATGATGAACGTAGTGGACGCCACTGGCGCCGTCCAGATCAAATCCGAAGCCACGCTGAGTCCAAGACGAAACCAAAGGCTCCATCAACCAAGTAAGGAGCGCGGTCCACTCGTCTGGTGTCTCTACGCCGCCCTGCTTGCCGCCCTTGCTGTAGTCGAATGGGTCCGTGGTCCCGATGCCTGGGAGCTCGATGGTCGCTCGGAGGCCCGTCAGTTCGCGAAGATGTGCTGCAGCCAGTCCGGATCATAAATGGTGGGGAATCCTCAAGCGAAACGCCCGGCCCGACCTTCCGACTGGCCTCGGAGTGCGACAGAGAGGAGTCCCTCATAAGTAAAAAACATGGAAACATGGAACAACAGCAGCAGCAGCAGCAGTGAAGAGCAACAAGAGAAGGAACAGCATCATGAGGTGCAGCGACACCAAAAGCTGCAGGAACAGAAAGCGTGACTGGTCGCCTATTCCCTCCATGTGTTCCTGCACCTCATGTGGGAGGAGACGGATCAGCAACAGGAGAGGCAAGGAGGACGGGCCCTCTAAGGGCCTCCCGAAAGTCCAAGGGGGGTCTTCTCGGGAAGCTTCCCCAGAGTGTCCTGGGGAACCCTGGTACTTTCTCTTCTGGTCATCGCGTCATGACACCCCTCCGCCGCCTACTCCACCTCCGCTGCCCACTCCTCCTGCCCCCCGTATTGGTCGTGGTCCTCCGCCCTCGTCCTCTCCCCGTCTTCCAACAACTGCACCCGTATCACCTCAACCTCCTCGTCCTCGTCCTCGTTCACTAGTATCCACCTCCCCCTGCTGTTGCCGATCTCCCAAAGTCCTCGTCATGGTCGAGGTGCTCCTCCTCCTCCGCTGTCTCCATTTTCTCCTCCTCGTAGTCCACCGCAAGGAATCCCCTCGTTGTCGTCGTCCACGTCGACATCGGTGTCGTCCACATCGTCGTCGCCCCCGACGTCACCCATGCCCAAGGCGGCCTAACGTCTTGCTCTCCTCGGTCCTCGCGGACAGGGGCCGGGCGCCGCGGGGAGCGTTGATCCAACGCATCGGGATCCTTCTCCTCCCCCTCTCCTCCTCCTCGTCCTCCGCTTCGGCTACTCAAAATCCATCCCCTCCAAAGCGTTTGAAACGTGTGTGCGGTCATAAACTACCATGCTTGCCCAGTCCGAAAGACGATCACATCGGGAAATGTGAATGACTGCAACAATCGTGCAACACCTATCTTTGCCAAGGACCCAGCCATGAGCGAGGGGTGCGCGGAAATGGGGTGTGGAACCGCATGCGGACCCTGCCACTGGGGCCTTCGGTGGAGCCCTCCCTCTACGGGCCGCGAAACCTATGAGGTTGTGCGCCGACATGGGGCATGGAATCGAATGCAGACCCTGCCGCTGATGCCTTTGGTGGGAACCCATATGGAGCCACGAACCGTGAAGGGTGCGCCGAAATGGGGGGCGGAACCGCATGCGGACCATGCCATTGCTGCCTTGGGTGTGGTTCCCTATGGTGCCACTACGCGTGTACGGGGTGCGCCGACATGGGGGGTGGAACTGCATGCGGGCCGACCCGACCGGAGGTGCCTTCGGTGGAGCTCCATACGGGGCAACGAACCGTGTGAGGGTTGCGCCAAAAAACTTGAGGTGGAACCGCAAGCGGACCCTGCCGCTGGGGCCTTCGATGGAGCTCCCTACAGGGCCACGAAATGTGAGCTGGGTGCCCCGAAATCGGGAGTGGAACTGGATGCGGACTCTACCAATGGCGCCTTCGGTGGAGCTCCCCATGGGGCCATGAACCGTGTAAGGGGTGCGCCGAAATGGGGGGTGGAACTGCATAACGAAGAGTGTGAGGTGCCGACACAAAAACGCGCGGACGGCAGATACTGGGATGGAAAGAAGGCGGAGAAAGCGGGAGGAGGAAAACGAGGTGGAACGCGGCTCTGCGGATTAAGAACGAGAACCTAACAGCACAAGATGGTTGGGACATGTTGCGCAGAGCCAGAAGACCATATCCAGCCAAAGGGACAGCAGGCGGCTGTGAAGAAAACTGTTGGACCGACCAACTGTGGCATACAGAAATCTGAAGCGAGCGAGTGGGAACCGCATCCTTCCTATCCTGAACACACATCCCGAAATAGACCGCAAAATACGTGCAACACGTTGCGGCGGCAAAACTGTGCTTGCGCTGTGCAAGGACAATGAGCTTCGAGGATGTCGCGAAGACTGGGGTAAGTGAAAGTTAGCGTAGCTGGTATACCCAATGTGGCTACTGAGCACAGGTCGGCATATCACCTGAACGTGTAGTGCAGTTACGTGGTGCCGCCTGCTGTGCTCGAAATGCACCCATGGCTGTGAGGAGGGCTGGATGAAGAACCTGGTGTGCGGCTGACTCAGGGCTGGCACTAACAACAGTCGAAGCATAATTGAGGTCACCGTCCGCGTGAGCTTCGAGGAACGTCGCAGAGGGGAGCACAAATAAGATGAAGCATTGGAGCTACCAGACTTCCTGTAAGTAGCGCGGCTGCTCAGGTGGCTTGCGGCTGGCTCTTTTAGGTCTGTGAAACAAATAGCGGAGGCTGTCTCTCCATGTGCATGCCCATGTCCGTCGGGTACTTCAAAAAGGGTGCGATAGCGAGGGCACGTCCACGCTGTGAGAAGGCTGTGGTAACAATGCGACCATGTCGCGTGTCATTGCTGCAGATGGTCTAGAAACGTAAATGGGATGCTGCCCTCGGGAAGTTCCATCACAATGGATGATGGTGGTGGCGGCTTTCTTGAAGCTGGTGGCTTCACTTTGGTTGTTGGCGAAACTTGTGATTGTGGTGCTACTACTGGTTCTGGATGCTGTGCTGTCGTCGCAGCTGGCGTCGAGCCGCTGTGAGCGATCATTCGCCTGGCGGGGGTCTGCGGCGGTGGCAAGAGGAGGCAGGGTCTTTGTAGTGCGGTCTTGTGCACGGCTCTGTGACAATCTGGGCTTTTGGGGTAGCGCTTGTCTGCTGTACCGTTGTATCGTATGTTTGCGACCTGGCGCCTGCTTAGAAGGACTGGTCTCAGGGGGCTGATGAAGGTCTTAGGCGGGCTGTAGGGGCGTCGAGACCATGTCGGGCCTGTAGCTGATGATTGGGATCTGGTATGGCGATGGGTCGTGTATGGAGCGAAAATTGGTCTGAGTAGCAGTTGTAGGAGCCCCCTCACCCAAAAGCAATGTTCTCTGTAGCTGTAAAGCCGAATCCGATTTCAAAAAGCGTCCGGTCGATGTGAAGTCACCAACCGAGTGGGAAAATGCCACTGGATACCGCCTGTGCGACGTATTCCGAGGTACATGTTGAAAACAAAGATATCAGCACGGCGAGTTTCGAAAGCAGGCATTGGGCCGCGACACCCTCGAAGTCGTGAGAACATCGAGTAGGAGATCGACTACACAATTGATTCAACGATCGTCGGATCCACAACAAATGCGTAGGAAATTCTAAGCTTTGCGAACATACCACGTACTTGTGTGCAGACTCGACGATGTAACCAATTCTGGGATAAATCCTTCTGTAGTCGATCCCCTACTCGAGAAGTAAACAACCAGGCCAGAAGCGTGAAACCATGATCTCGGCTGCCTCAGGGGCAAGCTGCGAAGCCTGCGCAGCCGCAAACACGCGGCCGCAGCCACCGAGGAAATATGGCACAGTCGACCTTGCCACAAACCTCGCGGGGCAGGAGGATCAGAATAGGTTCAGAGCTCCAGAAGAAGCTCAAGTCTTGGTCAGCTCCGAGCTGAAACTAGGCTCGGAGGAGAAACCCAATAGCATCAGCAGTGCTTCGCGCTGGCTCCACGGACGTCTTGATCATCGTGTGTACGGCCTCTCCAGCCTCTCGAGGGCCGCGAAGGCCAGCAGGGCCGCTCTCGCTAATGGTCTCGCTGTGCGCGTTGCTGCCGCCGACCTTCCCACTGTCATGATTGGTGACTGGAATGCCCCGCCAGACGATGACGACGACGACGACGACGACGACGACGACGACGACGACGACGACGACGACTATTCCTCCCTAGCGGAATTTACCATCGACCACCGCGTTGTGGGCCACCCAGATGCTCCCACGCATACCAGCGGCAGGTGCATCGACTACTCACGCAGCCGCAGTTTTAGGGCACTCGCCGCCAAGCTCGGTCCACCTGTCTCGGACGAGTTCTCCACCAGAAGCCTGTCCGACAACGATCAGCAATGCGTGGAGTTCGCCGTGGGCGCCGACGCCGACGTCACCTCCCTACGTCGCCACCACCCGCTGGCCCCTCCCGCCTTCAAAGCCCTGTGGTTGGAGGCATGGGAACGCGCGGCCCCACCACAGGTCTTGCCGAGTCGACGGCCGGGCACGAGCCGAACGCCTATTGGCAGGCTTGGTCGAACGCTATGGAGCTCAGCGCCGGCGTCCCCCGGCGTTGTCTCTCCAGGTCCGACGGCGGCGACGTGTGACAGTGGACCAAAGTGTGGAAGTCTGCCGTAGACCACGCCAACACCGAGGAGCACCGGCAGCCAGTCACAGAATGGCGGCTCCGTCGCATCTGCCGGCGCCACATGCAGCACGGCAGCATCCAGAGCGAGGACGCCGCACTCAGCGCCTCCCTCGCCAGGAGCCTCGGCCCCTTGGTCTCCGACAGCCACCTCCCCCACCCAGCCTCCTACGACGACGCTGTCTGTACTGATCGCGGGGCCATTCAGATCCTCGAGGAGGAGGTCATCAAGTCCCGCTTGAACGAGTGGAGACACCAACAGAAGCATGTTGTCATGGCGTCAGCTTACCTCTACGTCCGCAACGCAGCCAACGTCCCCCCCGTGGCCGCAACCGATCCCAGCTCGGGCCGGCTCTCCGGGGGATGTGCCGCCGCCAATGCCGCCACCATGGCCACAGCCAAGCGCGCCTGGGACGCCAAGATGGTAGCCCCTCCCGACACATCCAGCCTGGACCAGTACTTTGCCGAGGCCGCGAGACACGTGGCCCCGGTCTGACCGTGCGTGGAGTGCGGCGGTGTGCGGCACTTCGAGTGGAGCCGGTTCACCGTGAACGGCCTCAAGGCGGCAGCACGTGGTTGACGGGGCAACGCAGCAGGGCGCACGGACTACGACGCCGACTTCCTGCTCTCTCCATGCCCACGCCTGCATGGCAGCACCTGGCGGACCTCCCCGACATGACCATGGACACGGGCACCTGGCCAAACGCGCTCCGCGTGCAGAACGTGACCTTCATTTCGAAGATCTCCTCGCAGGACTTGTGCCCGATCGCCGTCATCCCCGTCGTAACGCGCACCCTGTCGCGGTACTTTGTTCAACATTGCCTTTTCTGGACCACCCAAATCCAATCTACAGACGCGGTCGGGCACTGCTCCGCTTTGAGTCCGCCGTCGCTGCTCGCATAGCCGACAACCTCCCGACAGTGGCGCGCACCCGCGGTCTGGCCAACTGCTACAAACACTTCGACCCGTCCCTGGCGGAGCGACCGGCTGTTCTGCACGGCATGCCCGACACCTACGCCCATTTCCTCTTCTCCGCGAACGTGGACAAGCCCACAATTCTCCGTGGTGGAGAGTACGCCATGCGCGTCCCACCGCCAGACAACGATATAGCACAGGGCGATCCGAGCTCCCCGCTGAGAGCGGCCGTGGTCGCCGCCACGCACAAGGCAATCTTGAGGAGCACGGTCGACGTCCTGATATATTTCGACACGTACGTCGATGACAGGACGGCCCTGACCAACTCTCTGGAGGCAGACCGTCTCTATACCCAAGGAGTCGCACGACTGGACCACCTCACGGGACAGCACGAGGATCCCTAGACGGGCTCTATGGCGGCGGTTTTCCTTGCCGACGGCACCAAACACTCCGCCAGCACCATCCTGGGCACCATCAGCAGCGCCAACAACCACATCGACACCGATGTCGAGGTACTGGGTACCGTCTTCGACCTTACAGGCTCTCGCAAGCCCCGCAGCGGCCAGCGCACGGAACGGAGGGCAGGGGAACTACGGGACCGACTCAAACGCATCGCCGGGATCACCAGAGCTGCCGGGCTCAGTGCCTGCAGGCGCATGGCCATGGTACGAGCAACTATGTCGCTGTGGCGCTGGGACGCCCCGTGGGTCATGGCCGACGACACGGACCTCCATAGCATGCGCTACGAGCTACGGCATCGAAACGACCATCACTGGGAGACAACGATACCCGGCATGTAAGCACGGCGGTGCTTTCTGGCGCACCACGGACAAAGGCTGGCTCGTGGAGCCGTTTGCGGTGCAATTCGCGGTTCTCGTCCGGGGCCTCGTGGATGCGGGCTGCGGGCTGCCGTGAGGACTCCGCGAACACCATGGAGCGAACCTGGACGCACCTGCACCAGCAGAGGCAGCACGGAGACCCCGCGGACGGATCGTGGAGCCACCGCCTGGCTGCCCAGATCAGGCACGTCGTCTCGAGTTTCTGGCAGCTCACAGACAGCCCATGGAAGTTCAACTTCGATAATCAAGCCTTCGATGTCCGACTCCTTCGCCAAAAGCACCTGGACCACTACGTGCGCCAAGCATGGCGGGCATGGATTTGCTAGTGATTGTTTTTCGGTGGTGCAATCTGATACCGAATGGATTCCGCCAAGGTTCTCGAGAGCCGTCAGACGTGCAAGACAGAAGCCAGAATACAAAAATCCGCTCCCCGTTAGGGGATAGAAGGAGGTGAAAGGTCTGTGCACTATGTACACAGGTCCAGGGTGGCCGAGGGCGGGCAAGCTTGAGCCCAGGCAGTTATGGAAACGGGTGATAACTGCAGGGGTGCAACAGACTAACCACTCATAGCAAGACCGTGCATCGCACAACCATGCTAGTGATTGTTTTTCGGTGGTGCAATCTGATACCGAATGGATTCCGCCAAGGTTCTCGAGAGCCGTCAGACGTGCAAGACAGAAGCCAGAATACAAAAATCCAGACCCTTTGGCATAGTCGAAGTTCTCAGCGCAGCGGTACCCAGACCATTGCCGTACGGAGGTGCGGGAAGGCGTCAACCTTGATATAGTGCGAGAAAGCCTCGAAGAAACGAAGAACGCAGCACTGCACATATTACAAGTCGAGTAGGATCTTAGCGAGGAACTTTGCCAGACGATAAGGATATTGGGCGGCCCTCGAGGTCATCGTTTTACCCTCCAGAATCAAATGTTTATGACCAGGACGGAACGAGCAGAAACCATGCTTCCCGTGGCATCCGAGGCGATCCGGGAAAATGATAGCCAGGTTGCCTGACTCGGTGGGGCAGCCGATGACAATCCGCGTGGATTTCCTCCAATGAGCACCGAAAGCGCACTGATGCAGGTTTATAGCCCACGAGTGCGGAAGAACATGAGCAGCCACATTAACTTGCCGCCACAAGTACGAGCCCATTGGATTCTCCATAGCATAAGGGATCTTGGAATAAACGCACAACCGAATGATGTAGACTGCGACAGATAAACATAAGTTTCCAATCTTTACTGTTTCACGATCATGGGCTCGCAATCGTGGTAGGCCCTGAGGAAATTTGGCACTCCTGACGGGGTACCTGTTCCGGGCCAGCGAGAAGGACGCGCACGGAGGCGCAATCATCACAGCACGAATGAGACCACGGCGAAAATGATCCGCGATGATGCGGAGGTTAGCAGCACTGCACACATCCTGATCAGCACCCTGCCGAAGGTCTAAGCTGATGGCAGGTACCCCCAGCTTGCGAGCCCACGCGGCGACCCCTCCACCACCGGCGAAGAGATCCAGGAGATACGGAGCCTTCTGCGCCTTGAGCACGGCGCAGGCGGCGGCCTTGCTCAGGCCGTGGGGCGCTGGGATGCTGGAACGGGTGCGGGGCGGCCGTGAAGGATGACATCCTCCATCGCCCTCAGAGCAGCCACGCAGAACGACTTCGTGAGCTCCGACAGGCCTTCCCACGACTCGTTCAGCCTGCCCGCCTTCTCGTAGCGCTTGACCGAGGTGAGTGTGGCCCAGCGCCCGCGCTTCTGGACCTCCTCTTGAGTCCGGCGGTTCGAGGCCCTGTCCAGGCTTGCCCCGGAGTGTCTCCCCTGGTAGGGCACCGCGTCGACCCCGATGTTGTGAGCCGCCCGCCTGAACAGCGCCAAGAACTGCGGGTAGGTCAGGCCGAGCAGCGGCTGAGACGACCCTCGATCGCGAAGGGCCCGGTAGATGTGATGCATCCAGGCCATCCTTCCTGAATCGATCGGGATCGAGTCGTCCGACGACCCCGTCTTGCTGCGCGCCGTGCCGCTCTCCGGGAAGAGGAGCAGCACCCAGTTGTCCACGGCGTGGCTGCAAGGCGGCAGGAACGAGTTCGACGTCAGCCCCAGCATCTCGCCGGGTCGAAGATAGCACTCCACCAGGATGAGCACCATCACCCCGGCGAGAGAAGCGCCCAGCCTGGTCATCTCGACCGCGATGCCCGCCCATATCGCGAACACCAAGGGCTTCCGCGATCTTGATGGGCTGAGCCGCTTCCAACCTTTGAGAGTACGAAGGGCACGTGGCACGTAGAGGCCACCCGACTTCCCATAGTCCGGGTGGAAGAACATCATCGCAGCAATGAGCTTCTCTCCACGCCAGCTCTTGACCCCCTCGAGGAAGAGCTTGTTCATGTACTCGACCAACTTCACGTCCAGCACGGCCGACGCGGGCATGGCTGTCAGCAAGAAGCCTGCCCAGGCACAGAACGCGAGGGCGCACTCTCGGTAGGTCTCCAGCGACCTGGCCCCCACCGAGCGCTTCTCCAAGTAGCTCAGCCCCGTGTTGTGGCCGTGCCTCCAGATGTCGCCGCCGTGGGCCTGGATGGCCCTGCGGACGCGAGCCTTGCCCCGAAGCTCGAGGTTCCGGCGCGAGGCGGTCACCACCCGCCGCTCCTCCACGTCGCTGCTCTCGTAGCTCTGTGAGGCGCCCGCGTCCACGGCCGCCGCGGGGACGCCGGCGCTTGCTGGAGTCAGCTTGCCCGCCGGCGTCTCGAGGAAGGCCTCCACGGTGTCCGTCTGCGCCGGGCAGTGCGGCGGGGCGGCAGCCACGAGCCTCGCATCCAGGCCCTGGGACGCGTCCAGCACACGCGCTCGCCTCGCCGGCGGGGCCGCCGCAGAGCTGCTCGCGCTCGCCCCCGGGCTCAGGGTGCGCGCTCTGCGAGGCGCATTCGCCGCCGGCTCCTGCAGGGAGCCCGCGGCCGGCGCCTGCGGCGGCAGGCTGCCGCGCTGCAGCGTCCGCTGGCGGCCCGGCGAGGCCGGCTGGGCCCCCTCCATCGCACTGCCGCGAGGAGCCTGAGGACACGGGACCCGAGGCCTGGTTTGAGCCTAAATGGGATACGAGGGTCTTGGAGCTGTCATATTCTGGATCAAACTTCCGACTGCCTTCATCGCCAGAGTTGAACTCGCTTGGTATCCATCGGACAACAAATCTGATGTTTCTCGCCAGACAGAGCGCAGCAAAACGTCGGACCTGAATTAGCAGCCGAAAATCCCTGGACCTGAAACGACAAAAACAGAGCACTACCGAGAGATTGTCCCCCAGTAGGAGGACGCGGCAGTCTTTGACTGGCTGAGAATGGGCCGCACGAGAGGCAGCCTTCACCAGTGCTCTGGCCTCAAGCCTCAGAATATCGTCAGCAAAAACCCAGCGATCTGCCATCACGGTCTTCCAGTGGGAATCGTGAAGCAGCTCATGCGGGACCTCGGGGAACCCCGGGTCGCACTCCCAGCGCTCGCTGTTGAGGATGTCCAGCAGCTCGGAGTCGAGCCGCCTCGGCGCCCCCTCGGCGTCGCGGACAACCTCGCCCGTCTCTGAGTTCAAAAGAAACCCGGCGCTCTCGAAGGCGTGCTGACGAGCCAGACCAGCGCCCAAACGCCACCGACTCAGCTCCGAGATGCGGCCGACCAGAGCCACCTGGGCAGAGTCGAACTCCGCATCTGCGACGCCGTATCCATAAAGGCTGGCGTCCGACGAGTAAACGAAAGGCATCCAGTCGCGGTCCCAGCGAGCCTCGAGCATCACCATCAATCCCAAGAAACACTCCAGTTCCTCTCGAACAGTAGGCCAAAGGACTGAAAAGGTGTGATAGCTGCTCGTCACGAAAGCATACACTGCGTGAAAGATAGACAGCAGCTCGCGCCGAACCAAGGCTATGAACGTCATGTGGCCCAGCACCATCTCAAGCTGCCACCCGGCAACCTTGCGCTGCCTGAGGAGACATCGCAGGCCCTTCCGCACGGCTGCGAACCTCTCGTCCGTAGGCCGCGTGCAGAGCCTTGCTCCATCCAGGTGGCAGCCCAGTGTACGACCACCTCCCACGTGAAGGTCAACCTCATGAAACTTGAGATGGTCACGATCGAAATCGGACTGGGCTTCGTAAAGGGCCGAGCGGACGGCGGTGTCTGACAAACCAAGGACGCCGGCGTTATCGACGTACATGAAGTGGCCGAGGTCCTCACTATGTGGCCCGCGGCGAAGGACAAGAGGCGGCCCTCGATCACTGAGCCGCAAGCTCTTTGCCACGGACGGCTGCCGATCGAGCCGCGACTGGTTGGCCGCCTGCGCGAAGAAGAGCGACCATGAGAAGCCCATCGGCAAGCTCTGACTCATGGGCCACACCATCTCCGAGTCGCCAGCCGCCTGACCCTCGATGAGGGTCTCGCCTGTGGCAGAAGCTAACAGCGGCGGCCAGCAGAAGTAGCGCCGAATGTCGCCGTCCAGCTTCATCCGATGGAAGCAGTCGGCGACGTCGCCGACCCCCAGGACAACGCGCAGCTCGCTGAGGTCCCCCTCCTTTAGCACCGGCACCTCGA